TCGCAATAAATATTGTACCGTGGACTACCGAGATATTATCATATCGTGAGATTTTGATATCATTACATCCCTAGTAGAAACTGATAAAAAGGTGAACTAGCCTAACACTACTGTTAAAGTCCGCGTGAACCGGAAGTTGCTGCCGACTTTATTTCAGTGTAGTGACGTATTTCCATCTGAAACGGAATATTGAATGGAGGGCATGGTTTTATTTTGGCTCTCCTCCTCTCTGTCTCTCACTCATATCAAACTAACGGTTGGAGGGGTGTGTTTAAAGGATATTCTGCCCAAGCCATCAAACTGACGTCATCAGAGAAGGATTCAGAGAAGCCATTCCAGAGCAGAAGCAAATGATCAGGTTTTGATTAAAGATTACCAAGACAAACTATTTTTTTCAGCTGATTAATTTGCACGGATTAATTGTTTACATCAAGACTAGCAATGTGCGCTAGTAAAGTAAATAAAGTCAATTTTGATTTCATGCCGACTTTAATAGGTCAAGCGAACACTATTATCGACAAGCATCAAAATTTTGCCAAGTCAAATAATCAGTCATCAGTTTTGTTTTAAACACTTCCAAATCATTTGTTTTTAACAGGAGAATGGAGTAGGTGGCCTTGAACATTTGCCAGAGAGGAGGCTTGCCGTTAATCACTTACCATTTGCAAGCTCAAAAACAGGCAAACATGTAAAACCAAGGACACAACAGCTTTCTGAGCCCACCTGGCATTCTTTCGCATATGTGTTGATGAAGCAGGTGCAAAGGCACTAATCACTAATACATTCCAGAAAAAAACTTTTCCTGATGCAAGCATGTGCGTCAGTGTGTAATCTCTTCATAAACAGTTGGCTCTATCACACTCAAACTTGATCTCAAACAACAACTTTTCTTCCTACAGAGTCCAAGACATTCAGATCTTAAGGTGTCCCATCTCTTTATGTTCTAATGCCTGGACATAGCCAGACTACAGAGGACTTTCTGCAGGAAACACAATTTTAAAATTCAGACCAGACTTCAGAGCATAACATGAATCCAAAACACTAGCAAACCAGAGACCAAAGCACACTTGAGCCTTATTTCCTGGAAGAGAAAGTGGAGTGGAATAAATAAGCGCACTTTAAGATTTATTATGTGATTAGCGTGGACGTACACATGCCTTAAAGTCATGATGAGCAAGAGATCTTATATTGTAATATAAATCTGAGTGTAACAAATCATCAGAAGAGGGGAGAAAAAAAAAAAAAAAAAAAAAAGAGTCGGGACTTGGTTCTATGAATCAGTTGTTGATTGGATTTTGAGATGTGGCCGTTGAATTAAAAAATGAATATGAGCTTGCAGTCAGTTGTGGAGGGATGGGATTTAAACTGACTAAATGTTCGGAGAAGTCCGACATATTTCACCAAAAAAGCCTGTCTTTCGCATAGAAATATCGAGTTATGGCTTTTTGATTAAATATAAAAAAAACAGAGCCTACAATACCCTCAATTACAAACAAATCACGAGAGCGAGAGGACGAGAGCTTCTCCTCTTTCTTCAGTCAGCCTGGATGTGCATCACTGTCTCTTGGCAGCTTTCAAAACATAAAATCTAATTTGTTGACCATGTGGAGCTCTTTGTGTTTTAAATCTAAACCTCATTCATCTATAATGCTGTGATGTAGTGCGAAGTATGCCGAGAGGAGACTTTAATAGATGATTAAGATTGCAGTCCTTGTCCAAACCGAGCATGAGTGCTGAGCCGACTACACATATTTATAAGCCATAATAGCAGCAAATGACCCCAGATCAGTAGGATGATTTCACAACGTTCTGGAAGAAATTCCTCTATTCTAGTATTTGGTTATGTGCTGCATTGTGTGAGAGAACGTGCAGTGTGAGCTAAACCCCCAGGAAATTGGTACAGGAGCTAGAGCCAGGTAAGAGAACATCTGCTGAAGGGAGATATAAAACACACACACACACACACACACACAACCACAATCCCCACCTTAATCACCTCTCAGTTAATGGAGGCTATTTGTGTGGCCAGAGATAGCTGGCTAAAGCCTGAGAGAGGGAATGAGCACATCAGTATAAGCATGTGCGTGTCTAAATAGATCTCATCAAATGCATAAAATAATGAAACGAGGAATGCGTGTACACTCAAATAATTTTTTTCTTTGTGCTGACATAAAGCAACAACCCCACAATAACACATCTGGACCTACACTGATATTTCCTGCAGGTAAGCAACAGGACAATATAAATCTCTCATGCATGCTTCAAAAAAAGCATAATCTCTTACCTAATCACCATTATATAAATCAACATCAGATATGAATATATGACAAGACAAATATCCATGCTCCTCTGGGTATCACTGCAACTGAAAATGTAAAGAAGTATAAATAAATAAGAGGTGTAATAATAAATAAGTAATCTGATCCATTAATTACATTTCCCTTCTGGAATTAATAAAATTCAGATTTTGTTGTAATTAAAATTTCTTTAAAAAAACAACAACAACAACAACAGTGATCTGCTGAATTCATACTCCTGGATACAGCCTAGCGTATTACTTCCACATTTAGTCTCAGTGCAGCGCAGTGTATGGAAATTGTGAGAAACTTAAGCACAAAATCAATCTTGAGGAAGAGTTCCACAACAGGACAAAGCAATATTGATGATTCGCCTTTAAGCTTAAGGAATCTGAAGATTCTGGAACTCATTACTAAACTGTATGTTTTAATCAGATGTGTTTCTAGCCTTTCATCAGTACAGGGGCCTCCTTCAAAAAAAATTGTCCTAATATTTTTTTTGGATGCTGTTATGGATATATTTATATAAATTGGCTTTGCAGTACAAAGTTGAGCTGCGTCATTGCTGACAAATGATAAAATACATTAGCAGGGTTTGTTTCTAGTTTATTGTTGTATAGTCAGTATCTAATAATATTATAGAAATATGGCAGAAAGAGTTTGCTATGGAAGAATATTATACCTGAAGCTCACGTAGCACTGAGATTCCAGTGAAAATACGCAAGTAGTCGACATGCATTGCGAGTCCATTGTGTTTACCAAGAACACATGAGTCTTCACATCACAAGCCCCTGAGCCCTTGAACTGATGCATATCAGTCCAGTAAGCAACATGTGGGCAAGTCTATCTCTCTTATCCACCCTACCCACACCTTCTGCCAATCTCACTGTTATTCCAAGCCAAAGTAACATTTTGTACAGTTGCTGATTACTGCCTTTAACGTAACTATTAAATATTTCTGCAAGCAAAGTGAAAAGAGGTGGTGTAAAATATCAGGTTAGACGCCAAATCTAATAATGGCTTTTCTTTCTGCACTGGTGGACCTGCCAAAGACACAGATCAAGGGCAAACAATATGTCTGTACGTAAGACATGAGTAATAAAAGCAAAAGAAGAACAAAGGACTACATTTTATGGAAAGCAATATACAACAAGAAACTTTGCATGAGAATAAATAAGAGAGCATCACACAAATCAAAAAAGCGGAGACATTTAAACCGGTATGAACTTCTTTCATTCCTGCTGGCAGCTCTCTATCATGACACAGAGGCTTTCAAATTCCATAGACACAAAAAAAATAAAAAGAAGCCTTATCGGACATGCACAGCTTGAAAAAAAAAATACTGCTTAAGCATGATGTGGATCAGTATTTTCCATTCTTATACAGTTATGAGCTCAGCTCACAGACCCTATTAACTGAAATTCAACAACATCAGAACATCACAGTCATCCAACACCTGTTATTAACACGCTACGTTAAACTTAAAGGGTTAGTTTACACAAAAAATGAATATTGCTCCAAAACTGTATGACTTACTTTTTTTGTGAAACACAAAAGATGCAGCATGATAGCCTCAGTCACCGTTCACTTTCATAGTTTTTTCCCCTCATACAATAAGCAAATGGTGACTGGTGCATTCTTCCTTTTAACATAAGTCTTGACACTTTTAGTGAACTAACACTTTTTTAATTTTTACAATATTGTATTACTATTTTATATTTTTTTAAGAAAAGCTTTTTCATCTTTTTATGAACAGAAGGATGCCCATTGGTATCGAAGCTTACGGCTGGTGAACTTAAATGTTCCGTCGGTATCTAAGTGAAGACATCTGACGGAAGTTTGGAGATCAGCTGCAACAATCAGCTGCTATCTGCTCGTGCGCTTCCTCTCACTTGATTGACAGCTCGTCAACAGCGCTCGCGCCCTGACCGCGAAGCGATGGAGCTTTCTAGCAAATCCACAAGTACGGCGACTACATCACACACAAACCATCCAAACACACACATACGGACTCCTAACAGCATATTTCAAAACAGCCCGAGTCTGAGACTGATTTTCAGCAGACACTCTTAACGTGAGTTTACAGGGAGAAAGAGTTAAAGTTAGTAATTCCCCTGAGGAGAGCGGTGGTCAGACAGCTCCCTCTACATCAACAATAACACGCTGGAAGCTTTCTACAACACCTCCACTGCAAAATCATCTCTCGTGCAACTTTAGCCACGAGAACAGAGGTTAAAGGCATTATAACGGCCTCTTAATACAGCAGGTAAGTAGTACGCGTACTTCTAACGGTACAATAAGATCTCCCTGCACACTATCCGACTGGAAATTGAGCGCAGCGTTTTACCTTTAGTTCCGCACTCTCCGCCATCTTGTGACTGCTAGCGCAGGCGTGACGCTGCCGGGTCACGTGGTGTGCACGCGCAGCTCGTTGCCGGCGTAACCGACCGTTCACACGGTTTTCAAACAGTAGTGTCCGAGATGTGGCTCTGCGTCTTTGAGAGGAAAGCCTGTATGTTTTGGAAAAGTGAATATGGTTACTGCCCCAAAAACAGGGACGTCGCTAGAGACTCATGGATAGGAAGGCTAAGCCTGTTTTAGGGCTTGTATACAGTCGATGGTTTTAGCGCGTCTGAGGATTTTAAAGCTCCCAAAGGTCCATTCATTCAATTTAGTATGACAATGGGTTTCAAATCTATTAAAATAATGTTGTTTTTGGTCAGAATTAACTAAAAGTATTCAGTCTAACTGCCTCGGCTTTGTTAGACGCTCGTCTACAATTTTTCTTTTTATCCAGATAAACTAAAGTAGCTACATTCTATCCACTTTCGACCAACACCGAGGAGCAAAACTGCTGTAGTATCCAAAGTACCTGGATTTGATAGAAAATCTTGCCGCTAAAACATCGAGGAGAAGATCATTTTTAATGTTACTGAATTTACAGAATCTCATACAGAGATGTAAACATAAATAAATCCAGAGCATGCACAAGTTGGTTTTCCAGGTCAAATGAATGAATAAATAAATAAATGAGCGCAAAAGGTCATAGTTTTAAGCGGTTTTAACTAAATAAAGTGTGTAATGTGAAAAAAAACGTATATATTAATAAATAACTTTTTAACAGACCACACAAAATACGTTATTTTATTTAGGCCTATTCATAATTATAAATGACAATGGTAAAATTATCACTAGTTACAAAATATTTTTGTACTGTATTTTGCTTTTTGTATTTTTCATGCCCCCTGCCAGGCATTGAGTGGGTGCACATGCCAGACTTGGTCTAAATAAGTGTGTAATCAAACACTGACCACTGAATACACTGTTCGCAATTATAGAACATTTATCGCTGAATAAGCACATCGGCGATGTGCAATGTCTGTTTTTATACGTTATTTTATTTAGGCCTATTCATAATTATAAATGACAATGGTAAAATTATCACTAGTTACAAAATATTTCTGTACTGTATTTTGCTTTTTGTATTTTTCATGCCCCCTGCCAGACATTGAGTGGGTGCACATGCCAGACTTGGTCTAAATAAGTGTGTAATCAAACACTGACCACTGAATACACTGTTCGCAATTATAGAACATTTATCGCTGAATAAGCACATCGGCGATGTGCAATGTCTGTTTTTGCCACTAGATGGTAGTGTTTACAACAGTAATAGACGCTGAGACTCATTTTTGGGTTAGTGCGTTTATAATGGTTTAAAAAAACGCTACTGAACACGTTTTCAGTGTTTGCAGAAATATAGGCTAGACCTATTTCTTGACAAGCTGGAATGTTGGGAAAGTGGTCAATACATTTTGATGAGAAAACGTTTTTAAACATTACTGTTTAATTTAGGCTATATATTTAGGCTATTTGTCTGTAGGATAGCCTACAGCAAGATAACGATCCGGGCGTTATTATTATCACGCAAATGTTTTTCCAGTACAGTTTCTGGATTTAGAATTCGTGTCTTAAAAATAGACATTTAATCTGTGATCATTAAAAAGTAGCCTAACCAAGGTATGTTCGAAACATTGTGTGAAGGAGATATTTTGAATTTATGAGTCAATACTTGTGGCTTTAATTGAACTTTTATTGAAGAACGAGACAAGAGATAATATTATTTTTGAAAAAAGAGAGAGAGAGAGAGAAACACTCCAGAGGTCTTATGACATTTAGTTTGAGCACTTTCATGTGGAATAACAACTTTTGTGGTATTCTCAATTGTTTATTTGGAAAATATGGGTGGGATAAGTGCTTGTTCAAACTTGTGTTTGTTGTACATTAATATGAAGTACAGCTGATTTTCAATCATTTTTGGGTTGATTAATTTTGAATAGATAGGTCTGAAATGTTACTTATTTAAAGTGCTTAAAATTGATGATACACAATTAATTTGGGATAGCACATCAGTTCAGAATTCATTTAGAGAAAAACAATTACATGTAAAAACACATAAATAAATAATAGGAATAATAATCAACAATTCCAGTTTATGAAATTTCACATTATACAGTTCATTGCACATTGCCACATATTATGTATTTGTATTGATTAAAAAAAAATCTAACTATTTACACAAGTAACAGCATAATTATTAGAATGTTTCTTGTCATCCTCTGGCTTGTTTGACTGTTTTCATAAAGTAATCCTAGACACTTTCATCCACAGAGGAATGTTCAAATGCCAGTGAATAGCCTACTTGGGATGGATAGTGATTCAGCAGTCCTCAGGCCTCAGTGTTCGGTGTGCGTAACTTGAACCTCTCAAACAGAGTGTAAGTGGAGAATTCCTTTAGGGGAGGTTTACAGATGTCTCTGGGATCCTGGGATGCAGCTTTAAGTTAAGGTGGTAAGAGGGGTGGCTTGAATGTGCAGGTCCCTGTGCAGTGGCGTGGAGTGAGCATTTTGCAGGAGAAATGGTGAAGAGCGTCGTGAGCTTCTAGGGAGAAGGTCGATTTAGTTCCATGAATCGCAGCACAAGGGAAATCTACAGCTAAACCTATAGAATTCTTTACCGAATCATGCGACTTTCTCCAAATGTCACAGTGACACACAATGATACACCATACTGTATGTCCAATGAATGAAGATTAGATCAAACTCCTTTCTAATCATCACTACTTTACAGTTAGTCAAATGCACATTTTGATGTTTTAATGCTTTTTAAGTACATTCATTTGTTTAAAAAAGTAGCACTTGCATATTTCTTTTGTAATTCTTTTAGAATAATGTAACAAAGGTTACAAAAAGTTTATGGTTGACAGTGTATACCTTTAAGCTTCTGTTGAATTGCATAACGAGCCTTTCTCTCCTGATCCAACTCGTTGCACAATGTGTCTAAATAAAATAAAAAGAAAAAATTCATAAATCATTTGGGGTGGGTCACAAACATTAAATGTTTTTAGAATCCCTGTCACCTAATATTTTCTTGAATGATTCTGTCTATCTGAAAGTATGCAAGTGTTACTTTTTCTAAGCTTTCCTTTTTTCTTTTCACTAGTGCAAAATATGTATTACCTCGTACAATCTGCAGCTGCTGGACCATCTCCTCTCGATAAGACAGTTCCCTCTTCATTTGATCCTGAAAATTATCTGTTAGAGTCAACACGTATTATATTAACTTAAGTTATAAATAGAAGAAATTATATAGCAAATGAAATCATGGTGTGAATATATCCATCTCTTAATTACCTTTCAAACTTTGAAATTCCCGTTCCAGTTTTTTTCTTAGCTCCACTTGCTCCAAGAGCTGCTTTTGGAGCTCCTCTGTGGAAAACATAATTTATCATATCACTGTGACTTTTAATCACCACACATATCCCAATAGCTTTTGAGTAAGCTACAGTCTTTTAGAGAAAATTATCCAGCAGCAAGTAAATCAGATTTTTTTTTAACATGTATTTTCACTCTCTGTTTGGTTTTCTTGTCTAATAGCGCTATTTAGGTTACTAAGGCTAAACACACGGTCCCCGTGTTCTCAAGCATGACATTGCAAAATAATTAGGACAGTTGCCTGAGGGGTGTGTGGAAAACGAGCCTGGCAATGTGGATCGTCTGCAGTTCAAGGACAATTCTCAGTTATACACAATTGTGTAGCGATCACACGCGTTTTTAAATTCATAATGCGTGTAAAATGGAGAAACACTGCACACAAAGAGCTACTTGCCTTAAAAATAGACATCGCCTTGTCTGTTTTAAACAATCATAAAAGCCAATTGACTGCCTCTGTTTGTAATTTGTCACGTTATCTTGTGCATAAACACATTTGCTTAGCTAACAATGGAATAACACTGCTGAAAATTGTCAATAAAATATCCAAATATTTACCTTTCGCCATATTCTCGATGTCTTTCTCGAAATGAAATCTGTTACCAGTATTTCTCAATGTAGCGTCGCCTGCCACAAAATATAGAAATATATTATCACACTGAATTTTAAAGATGATTTATTTCGTATAAATATATAATGTTGTTTTAACACACACACACACACACAAGAACAGGACATATTTTTTATTGCTACTCACTTGGGTTCTCTTTGCTAACACTAATATGATCCGAGCAGGATTTTTGTGATTCACATTCGTCGTCAGTAGGGCTGTTGTTTGAAATGTGTGAATCTAAAGGAAAATAGTCTTGTTAGCAGGCCACGTATTCAGAGTAAATAGTTAAATCCTATCATTTCTTCTAAAATCGACGAAATGAAAGTTGTTCAAATTCTAGAGTATACGCTATATAATAGGCTACTAATGAATTGTAAATTGGGGGACATTTTTTCCCAGTCATCTCAATAGCAAAAATGTTTTCCTAATTTACCCAAATTCACTCATTTAAATGTTAGTTTGTGAAATTGTCTTACCGTTTGTTTCGGGTGCGCAGCGAGGAGGTTTAGAGGCCGAACAGGGCAGTGTGCTCTGAAGAGATGCTCCCTCCTTTTCATGCGAGTACACCTGCAAAATGAACCAAGCATTTAAAAAATAAATACAACCCCAATCATGCATCATTTCTTCTTTTCTTACGCAACCATGCTTCAGACAACAGACTGCGTTTATACACTTCTAATGATCTACGAATATTTGGCAACATCAAGCCAAATTACTCGTATTACAAGGTAAATTCGGTCAGATGGACTGACAAAGGAATAATTTGCGCGGTATCCACCGGGGAGCCCTTACACCAACGCACCAATAGCCGCGGGCGACGACAGAAATGACCGGTCATTCTAAACATTTCATTTAGTATAATTACGCGCCGCTGGGTTCTTTTATTTAGATCGTTCTACGTTAATAAATAGAATATAAACGATCTGTATCCATAACAACATAAATTGCAAATTGTTCACAAATAGAAAACTATGAATGTAGAGTCCATAGGCTCAATTATGCGTCATTACTTGCTATTAGAGTTGAAAG